CTTTTGTGGACAAACGTTCTAATCTCTACTAATTTTCAACACGAAGGTTTGGTTCCACATGGGAATCTTACATTTTTATTCTATTTTATGATTAAATTCTAGCTTGAAATGGGTTTCTGAACTAATCTCCTACTCACTGCAACTCTTTGTTTTTATACATTTTTGGGTTTTTTTTGTTTTGTTTTTGTCTTGTTTTTCCTTTTTTGATTACTAGGTGATGTTCTTTAAGTACTTTCTGTTTGTTAAACAGAAAAAAAAAGATAACAAAAAGAGATTTGCAAAAAAAATTGATCGAGTCAAAGAGGCTGGAAAGAGGAAAAAATGTATTTTCCACATCTTCATTCAGCTCAATCTGTTTTTCAGCGCCCGACGCTGGAGAATGATTCCTCCAGCTGGGCAGCAGAGATGCTGACAAAAACAGAAGGGAAGCAAAGATTCCCGCCTGATCTGCCACCGTGCTAACGTATTGATCGACGTATTGATTGACCCTGACCTCCACGAGTGTCTCTCAGCATAAATGTTTCAGCTCAGATGAAGACGTGCTCCAAAATCCCAACTGCACCTCGAATGATGCAGGCGTCTGATTGGTTGGCAAGTGTGCCAGAAAAGTGAAACGCAGGCAGCAGTGATGGAGCAACCACAGCACACACTGAGCGTCTGCACCTCGTGCTTTTGCACGCTCACAGCGGTTAGCCAGGTAATAACCGGCTGCTAGAAGTCACAAAGAAATGCTTTTTGATTACTTTGGTTGCTAGGAGACTGCACGGTCACCTGCCGATTGCACGGAAGACGCCGAAAAGAGTCTGCTGCAGCAGTCAAGTCTTTTACTTTGAAGGTGAACAGTTTCCCCACCTGGTGACTGCCAGGGATCAGCAACCCTGCATGTCTGTGAAGGAGGCCTCGCACAGCCCAGGCGAGGGTTACTGCAGGTCGGCGTACTAACAGTGACATCAGAACCTCCGTGAAGAAGACGACGACACGTTTGCAAAAACTGAATCTGGATGTAAGACTTTCCTCACGACTCTCCTGCGTGGCTTCTACGATCACCTCGTCACTTTAAGGCAAAATAAAAAATAAAACACTTCCAGTTTAGGAAATCAAGCCGAGCCCACAGGAAACATCAGCGGCGCGGTGAACGGCTCTCCCTGATTCGCTGTCACCATCAAACTCATTCTCACTTCAAACAGCTTCTGAAGCTCGCTGTCAAATATTTGAGTGGTTTTTTCTGTTTTTAATTTTCAAAGACAGGAAATCAAAGAACCTACCTGCACACTCCGGGTTCTCCTCGTTAAAATTCACCGCGAAGTCGTGGGAGACCTG